CGACTGTCGGAGACCGCGATGCAGCGTTGTGACGCGGGAGATATCTGGCCACGAGGAAGCCTTTGCTTCAAACGATAGCCGCTCGAATCGCGCAAGGTAGGCGATTAGCGACTCATCGTCCTTCTGGCGGATCTGGGAAAAACACTGGATTGCCTCTTGTTACTCACGTGGATTGTGGCAGAGGCGCTGGAAAAACGAAAAAATCTGTTCTAGGTCCCAATCTAAAAGCTCTTCAGACTGTTCGCGGAGGTGGAGGATAGACGCCTGTTGAGGCTGCTCAAGACAATCCCATACGTAATCGAAGGCATCAGCTCCTGTGAGCTGGTCGGATCGGAGTTTAGCTCGGATAGACGGTAACCATGTGCGCAGCGTGTGCGGTTTGCCGTCGAACTTGGGCGGGTCTGGTAGGCGCACTCGGACTCGCGTCTGAGCGTCGTTCGGGTGCTGGCGGGACTGAAGCTGGAGCTGGAGCTGGGCGACGCTGTCGCGCAGGGAGGTAATCTCTGATCGCTGGTTCTGGAGCTCTTGCTGGAGCTGCTGTACGAGCAGCAGAAGAGCGTTCTGGTTCTGGCTGGGGCTGGACATAGTTCTGGTGGATAGTAAAAAATTTTCTGGCGAGGGCTAGACGCTTGTCTGATCTCCTCTTAGCTAGCTGGTGATCGAATACAAAATGTAAGGGGCTCGACCCCGGAGGGTAGTCTTAAGCTCGGGAGCACGATCGGACAGGCCAAGGTAACAAGATTGTATTCGATGGAGAGCTAAGCTCTCGGCTACGTAGCTATCTATATACAATGCTGGTTGCTAGGGTAACAATCGGGCCGGGCAGGTGGAGTAAACGAGGTCGTAGACGAGTATGGGAGGCGAAGGGCGTTTAGCCCGTTACAATACTCGTTAGTTAGGCCTCTCTCGCCCATAACAATAAGAATCAAACTGAAAATAAAATTACTTAGCAGTTTGAGCGTTTAAAGATACTAAAGCTTTAGCTACTACGAGCTAAGTAATAAATTGCGTATTTTATTTATTTTATTCATTTATATACCTAGTAGGTAATAGGAGCCCAATTCAGTTTATTAATCTTTATTATAAGCGATACTATGTCCCTTTCGCGATCTACGAGAAAATCAAAAAATTTTAAATATAGCTTATATTCTGTCTTAGAAATAGTAGCTAAGGATTTTATAATTAACTTAAAAATACTAAATATCTTGAGTCTTTTTATCAATAGCTATTGAGGCTAGCTAATATTAAGATAAAAATAATAGATATAAACTATTCTTCCATACTAAAGAAGTAATTAAACTTTAGCTCTAGGCTTAGAGCGGTTTACTACTTGAAACTTTCGCTATAATAAGGTAAAAGAATTACTAAGTAGCTACTTTAATAGAGATAATAGATAAAGTAAAGAAAGAGTAGTTAACTATATATAATAGAGAGTGTCAAGAAAGAGTTCTATAAAAAGCTATAAAATAAGAAAAGTAATATATAGATGCGTATATGATTGAGATTATATAAGGGTAAGTAGCTACTTCTATAGAGAATATATATTATAGATATTGTTAAGGATTAGGGTACGCCTACTTCTATAGTAGTTTAGACTAAGATATGACTCCTATAAATATAGGAAAGAACTATACTTAAATATTCTCTGTAGTAATATAATACCTTTTAGCACATTATAGTTCTCGAATAACTAGAGATTATACTATGATAATTGTATTACTTGCTTTATTACTTTACTGCTTTAAGATATACTTTTAACTAGGCTCTTATATAGACTTGAATAAAAGTAGTATACTTATACTTTGTAAATAAAGTAAAAAAATGCTTTAGCTACTAAAGGACTGTAGACAATAGTTTAGTAACTATGATAAGAAATTACTAACTTTTAAGCTATTATCTTTACTTAGATACTATTATAATAACTGTATAGTATAGCTTAACAAAAAGCTTTTTTTATCAAGACTACTATTTTTAAGTAATAAGACTTGATTCAGAGCCTAACGAATGATAATTAAATATAATCTAAAATTAGATAAAGTATTTGTTATTATAGTAGAGAACTAGTTTACTGTTATTCAAGTAAACTTACGTATAAAAGTAGAATATAAAATAGCCTTATACCATAAAATAGAAAAGACTAAGAAGTATTTCAACATGGTAGTATTCTTAGAAGACTTAACTTTTTACTATCAAAATAAGTATAGTAAAAAAAAGCTTAAGTAGCTTTGAACTAGCTTAAGTAAGAAAAAGGTAGATTTTTTTAAATTTCCTTTTATACTCTATATAAGCTTTAACTAAACGTAAAAGAAATATATGAAATAATAAAGAATTGTACCAAAGCTATAGAGCACATTCACTCTTTTATAAAGTAAATAACGTTAAACTGTAGTACAACTTACATTAACTTTAAAGTAGTATTTTATACTTATTAATTCATTATAGTTAGTAGACTTAGAAATAGTAGTAATTAAATAATATAGCTTAATACATTCTTAGCTAAATGATATACTAAAAGTTAACTAAAGTAAACATACTAAAATTACTTCATTAGTAAAAATAAACGATAATTAAGCTTAAAAGATACAAAAAAGCCTTAGTAAAGAAAAGCTATAAAGTAAAAAAGAGTTAACTAGATCTTGAATAGGATTTTCTAATAGTGCTAGGAAAAAAGTCCTTATATACGCTAGAGGCGCTCTGGTCATTAAGTAAAAGAATATTCAAGTATAGTTTACTTATAGGTGCTAGTAATACAGGATATAAAAATAGATAATATAACGTACCCCACGGCTTCGCGAGCCACACGGGTTCGCGAGCCACTTTTGCCAAGCCCTCACTAAAACTAGTACATTATGTCCTAAAACAGCCTAACTTTAGCTAATATAGTGCAATAACTTATAAAATGCTATTTAGAGACTACTTCTGCTACATTCTTACAAGTTCGCGCGTTATGCCTAGTCCTATTGCACTGTCCACACCGCCGTTAAGACGGTTCACCCACTTTAGCGCGCTTCTGCTTCTTTAACTTCTTCCTATCACTACGCACCCTAAAGTCCTAGAGAGCAGTTAAGCGCGCCCTATCTTTAACTATTAAGGTCCCCTCCGCCTAAACCCGCTTTCTTTTATGCGATTTTCGTCGCGTTGCGGCCTCATTTGCTGCTTTAAGCTTAGCAATCTCTTTTTGCGCTAACACTAGCTTATGCGCGATAATCGCTACCCCCTTTGAGACCTTTTCAAAGGCCTCTATAATAAACGTTGGCGAACTATTTGTATGCCTCTAAATCCTCTGCTTTACTAGCGTCAATTGCGACCCTAATTCTAGGATATTGCTAGGCGTTTACGACACCTAGGGCTAGTTGTCGATAGGTAGGGGTGATAGAGTGCGTAGCTTGATATTAAGCGTTGATATAACCTATTCTAGGTTAAATAGGACTAATCTAGCGCCTTAAAACCCTCTTTGGACATTGCTAGCTGTAAATAAGGCGTTAGAAGCCCGCTTAAAGCAAGATAGGAACTCTTGTTTAGTGATGTGGCTAATCTAGCTGCGCATAAGCGATTCGACTTGGCGCCCATAGGCCTGCTTTAAAGGGGCAAAATAGCCCACATTAAGAGGCTGCAAGAGGTAGGACGAGTGCGGAGGCATGCAAATAGTGATAATACCCTGATCTTTGCAGTACTTTTGGAAATCTAGCGAGTTATGGCTCTTATGGCCGTTAATAATAAGTAGGCGGTAGATATTAACCTTCTTTGTCTTTGTATGCTTATTAAAGTGCTTTAGCTACGCAAGACTAAGCTTATTAGTCGTCTAGCCGTTCTTAGAGACTCTAATAACCTAGTTCTGGGGTATATCGCCGTCCTTATACTAGCTTAAGAGGTGGTGGCGCGCCTTGAGTATGATGAAGGGCGGAATCGTCCACCCGGTCGCATTGATGCCCTGGATGACTGTTGCCCACTCTCTATTGCTAGGCTGGATAGTCTTTAGTCGTCCACGTCTCTCTAAAGCTGTAACAACAACTTTAGGGGCAATCTAGCCTATTATAAAGCTAGTCTTGTTAAAGTTATACATGTTATTGTCTATAATACCATACTTGGCTTTTATGCGGGCTACTAGTTTAAACTAGGCCTAGATAGTCTTAAGATTCTTATAGAGGGCTCTCTTATAGTCGTACTTGCGATTAAAACGCGTTATAAGCTTAGATCGACGTTTAACAATGGTACTAGGCTAGTTTTAGCTAACTTAGTCTAGATTACGCTTAGCGCGCAAGGAATTAGTTATATTAGCTACGTCTGCGAGCTAAGGGGGAAATCTACGCGTAACTAGCTTAAGTATATGCTTAATAATTACGTCCTCTTTAAACTTAGTTAGATTTCTTATTTTTAGCTAGCAATCTGCCTGTAAAGGTCGTCTGTCGCGTCTTTAGCTTAGTGTTGTTTGATCTACGTTATAGATAGCTGCAGCGCGTTGTAGAGAGAGAGTCGTATCTTATTTAAGAGCTTAAAGAGCAAGCTATATCTAACATTCACTAAAGGGCTGTAACTACTATTGTTGTTGCGACATTAGGGTAGGGTAGTAGTTTTGGTGAGGGCTTGGCAAAAGTGGCTCGCGAACCCGTGTGGCTCGCGAAGCCGTGGGGTACGTTAATTGATAACTTAGAAACCTAAAGGCGTTTACTTAAAATAGTAGGTACAAATATGAATATTATCATAATAGCAACGTATATAGTATATACAATAAAACTATTTAATATAAATAGAAAAAAACTAAACTATTTTTTATTTCTATATGTTTTAATGATAGTATATGTTAAGAGTATAGATCAAGTGGAAGTAATATAAGACTTCTGGTATTGATCTTCTTGTTGGTTAGTTTTCGCAGATAGAGCGGCAGTGTGCAAGAGAACGGTTACTTTAGGCAAGTAGAATAACTCTCTATATTGTACTTGTACTTAAAACCTAAGTTAAACACATTAAGCTATAAGGGCTTAATGCCTAATGCTATATACTTGTATAGTCCTAGTGTCCTAGTAGTCCTAGTAGTAACGAGGGGTTGTAGGACTACGGGGATCGGTAGGACTAGTCACGTGGTCCTAGTGAGTCCTAGTGCATAAAGCATGCCAAGGCTAAGTAGGATCTATAGGACTTATCACGTGATTCCTTTTCTTGCTATATTCCCGCCGTCTCTTAGATTACCCGTAAAACAAATCTAACGGCGAAATGTCCTCTATATTCTAAGGCTAGTCGTAACACTATCCTCCTCCTCTTATAACTCGTCCTTAAGGCAATGTGTAGCCTAGGTTTTTAGGAGAGGTATGTTGCTGCGATTTCGTAGTTGTTATAATTAAAGTGTTTATAGAAGTAGGTTAGTGTTAGGAAAGGTAGGTTGTTGTAAACAAGGGGTTGCTATTAACGTGGCGTTCGTGCAAGCGCCGTCCTCCTAGGAGCTAAGGGTTTCTAGGAGCGTTTCGTTCTTAGGAGCGGTAGGTTTCTAGGAACGCTTAGTTTCTAAGAACGCTTGGTTTCTAGGAACGCTTAGGGATAGATACTTCCGTCTATAACGGGTTTAGTCTAACAAGCACCGCGTCCTAAGG